GGGTTTGGTTTCACCAAAAAGTATTGGTTTAGATAATACACAAGACGTGGAATCGTTGCTTAAAAGGACAAGAATTTGCTTATTTTTGTGCAAATTGTTAGGAGTGAGCGGTATTTTCGGTGCTATAATCATATCAGGTGTCCCACTCTCAATAAATGCTACATTACTTGAATTCATATTTCTAGTCATTCCTTGGGTTCTTATATTCATTTGTTTTGTGTACTTCAGCGCCAATATTCTTGTCTATCAAATGAGTTATTTTCATATAATCTGTTTTTATTTTAAACTCAAACTTAAACGACTGAACACTAGTATTGAAAACTTTTTAAAAACAAATCATAGGTCTCACTCATTTAAAACTCTTGAAATGTTGAAATCGTTTGACAGAATTCATAAAGAAATACAGGAATCCAATGACAACTATTGGTCTCAATATTTATTATGGACTGTGATTTTAGTGATGTCTGAACTGAATCTTCAAATGGTTATAGTGTTGTTCGCAGACATTAAACTGATTCACAAAATCCTATTCTTTTATGTCTGCATTTTATTCATTATATTCTTATTATTTATTTTATTCACCGCTTCTTCAGTATCGGTTGAATCCAATAAAACTTATCGCTTATTAAACAGACATTTTATTTACAAGAGTTTGCATTCAAAATCGATACAAAGTAATTATAAGGTATTTTATTATTTATTTTATTCACCGCTTCTTCAGTATCGGTTGAATCCAATAAAACTTATCGCTTATTAAACAGACATTTTATTTACAAGAGTTTGCATTCAAAATCGATACAAAGTAATTATAAGGTATTGTAATGAATGTAAAATAATTATTATCTAAATTCATACTAAAAATCTATTCCTTTGTCTAATTAGTTATCGATTTTTATTGAAAAACTTGGCCAAAGAAATGTCGGTTTCTATTGTTATAAACTATTCATTATAAACACTAATAAAGCCCATGAAGTGAGTGAACTATCATTGCGTTTAAATTAAGCTCTCATTAAAAGTATTTCACTAATTGTTTGAAAATTTCTATTTACAGCTATTTCTGTTAACAATGGTTTACTTTCTTAAGATAATCGATATCTCATTTTAGACATTAACAATCAAACTAATGTTATACTGTACAGCATATAAATTTATTTAATAATCAATTACTGTAATTAGTTTTAATTTACATAACAAATACTAACAATGAAACTAATATAAATATTTATTTGCAATTATTTTAGAGTACAATATAATTAATAGTACTTTTGTTATAAACACACAAATGATTTGATAAATGCAGACATTAATTAAATTGATTAATTGATTGACTAAATGATTAATTAATTGATTAATTAAATCATTAATTGACTAAATGGTGGGTCGCCTCACAGCATAAACCTCTGCCTCTTAATGGCCAAACACTTCCTCATGAGTGGAGCAGATCTGGGCTTCTTCTTCGCCATTGTCTCTACTTTTTTGGTCACCTTTGGCTCCAATTGTTTGGCGATCTTAGGCTCCAATTCGCACACTTTGGTTACCTTACGACTAGATCTGATGCCATCCGTCTTCAGACGAATACTTTCAGTGATTTCCTCGAGTTTTCTCTTCCGGTAGTCAACGGATCGCCAGTAGAAGTGATGCCAACTCTCTTGCGATGTCTTATTTGGCACACAATTGTTGTAATAGTTGTGATCATTGTTGTCATCGGTGGTGAAGTGGAACTCATTGCGACACAACTCCAGCCATATCTCATCCGTTTGCGACGCCAACGCCGGACATAATGTCTCCAATCGTCTCAATTCAGTGGCCGAACACCTCTTGAGGAGCGGTCTTATCGTCTTGTAATCCATGTCTTCATTGATCACCAGTTTATTCAACTGTTTGTATAGTTTGTCGACACATAGCTCTTGTAATGGCTTTATAATGGATACAGATCTCGAGATTCCTGTCAATCAAAACGAGAAAACATATGAAATACATGAATGGATCAAATGAATGGTAATCAAAGACCTGAGAAGACATTTGTTTTGTTGGACTTTCTCTCATGTAATCCAATGTCCGTTGAGTTCACTGTTTCCCTCCTCTTGTGTCTGATGTCCACATGAAAGTCGTGTTTGTCTCCAATCACATCATCCATAGTGATAGACATAGAGATGAAGTGATGGACCAAATGGGGTGACAATTGGATGAAAGTGTGACCCAAACTGCAATGAAATGTTTGATTCAAAAAACGTGTGCTTTTCATATGACTGTCACTCAAACACACATTCACTGCACTCTACATAAAGTATGCGTTTATAACACCAATCAGTTATCAATACATTTATTGTATTAAATATCACTTATTTTTATAATTCAATTACTTGTCATTTATATTAAATTTATATTCATTTTATTTATTTATTTATAAATTAATTTTATATATTATTAATATCTATAGTTAATTGAAATGAATTGAAATATTTAATTATAAGTAATGAGAGAATTGAAAGTAGGCACTAACTTTGATTAAGTTTTATGTTTAAACTTCAAAGTTTCAAATCAAAATAATTGTATTACTATTAATAATTGATAATTATGATATAAAATTAAACTTTATTACTATTTTCAATTAAAGATAAAACTAATTTTAAAGTAATACTGTATTAACTACTAGAATAAATATAACACAATCCTTTGATGCCCCTTTACAACAGTTAACCTAGGTCCTAGGGTAAAGTTTGTGATTCTGTGTAAACTTGTGTTATACTGTATCCTTGCTCAATTAATTTAGTGTTTTATTTTAGGAAGAAATTCTTAAGCGATAATTATGTCCATCACATGACATAATAATTAGTCGACTATTTGTGAAGTTTAGGAACAGATGAGTGATAGTAAGAGAAGACATGCGCTTATGTGACACTTAAATGAATCACTTGATTGCCATTCAAT